TTAATCAGAGTGGTCCTGTTAGCCAGAGTGTCCCTAGTTAAACAATATACTTTAAAATGCCAATATACTTTATAAATATGTTGATTTCAGCATTGTTTTATTGCGATCCTTTGGTGTAAAATTATGGGCCTTCCTTTTAAAAAATGAACTGCATGTGAAAATATTTTAATAGAAAGGCAATGTAATGCCACTGTATATAAATATCAAATGCTACAGTGAAAAATTAATGGCAGCAATATACAATTATAACAAATCCCTCCGATTTCCAAATTACAGAAACATAAATTTCACTATTTCCACTTACTACACCCCTCAGTTTCAGAGATAGATAACAGAGGTATGTTTCCAGTTATCTCTGAGACTGAGGGTGACTTACCATGGACCTCCCACTCTGGCATATTCCACAGGATGAGGTAGAAGACATGACAGCATGATCTCGAAGTGACTCTTGTTCACCAACTGAAGCCAGTTGTAAATGTACTGAAACAAAAAAAATCACATATCACATTTGTGAAAAAGGAGATAGATCACATATGATATATTTTTAGCCAAATTTCATTGTCTATCTACTTTAAAAATATATCACTTTTCTAACATCAAAGATAGAACATATATGAGTGTCAATATATTTTAATGCCATCGGGTTTTACCTCAGCTTTAAGCTTTTCCAAGGCACTGCCCACTCCATCTATAAAAGTGAAATAACACAAAGCCATTATAATGATAATAATATCCTAAACAAAGAATTTTCATACCAACAGTATTTAATTGAGAACTAAAAATATTGCACTGTACGAAATTTGGATGATAGAGCAAACCATTTAAATATACTTGAGATGACAAACTCTACCTATCCCTCCCATGCCTTGGTTGGTTGTGTCTTTAAACCACTGGAACAGCATACCCAGGAGCCTGGCCAGCAGTTCCTGAAGAGAAGTCTCATTGTATTATATTAATATTAACACTATGAATCATTATTACCATCACTGACTTTGGCAAAAGCATCAAAATGATGTATAATAAATAAATCTATTAAATAAGTGATAAAATCAAAATACACAGAGAAGAAGAGAGGGAGGGAGAAAGAAAACAAAAGGTTACAATACACTTAGCACCATTTCTTTTTCAATACCAATTACACAAAATAATTTTTATTCTGATCACCAAAAGCTTAAAACTACACAAAAGTTACATACTATGGGTAATTCTTCCTTAGGTTTACAGAACTCCACCAGCAGCCAGATACCATATCTACTAAGTATCTTCCTGTCATCATTGTTGTTCTCAGCCCCATTCTCCCGTATGTCACCCCAGGAAGCATGGACATGGGTGCCACTGGCCTCTAGAACTTTCTTCTCTTCTGGTGGCTGAGCTTCTTTTAACAAACTAGAAAAAACATCCATGAATAGAAGTTGTAAATTTAGCTACTACATATTTCATATAGGTAACTGCTATTGTGAAGTGTGTTATCAAATACAAAAGTTTGAAAATGCCAGAAAACATATGACTGACATTACAAAACAAGGTTTTTGAAGAAGTTACCATTTCTTTTAATCACAGCTCTTACAAAGGCAGAAATAGTTTTCAATGATAAATTAATTTTGTCAATAAAAAAAAAATAAATAAATAAATCCATGTAATAACATAATAAGTATCCATAAAATGAGGCATATCTGCTGCAGCAAAAAAAAAAACACCTGCCACAAGAGTGAGACAACACATAAATGCCTCAAAGGGACAGCTTTTAAAATTATTTATCAAAATAATACATCACATACTATAAAATGTGTTTTTTTTTTCTTTCATTTTTCTTTTCATACCAAAACAATCAACTGCAGTTGACCTCAACTCAACTGTAATTGACCTTAACCTACCTGACAATGGCCTCCACCATATAATGTTGCAGTTCCTGGTCAGAGGTACCCCATATGTTGGGCAGTGTACTCTGAACAACATGGTGCTGTCCATCCTTGTTGTAATGCCTGTTGACATGGCAACTGGCACAGAAGCGTATGGGTCGGTTCCCGTTGTAACTGGCACATGCTAGGTGGAAGCAGGTGCACACTGCGAGGTTTTCATTTGAAGCACAATTCTGCAAGGAAAGGTTGGAAATTTGAAATTATTAAATTCATTAGAGGGATAAAATAAATTAATGTTAATTAAAATACAATATCATCAAGGCATTTAATGTTAAAAAAATCCACTGGCAGTTGAAGACTTTTTCATTAGCTATCTTGTCTATTATGGCAAAATACTGCTTCACCCTCAGGCCAGTAAGATTCTTAAACATTGCCCTAAACATTATTTTTCATCAACTATACCTTGTTTTCACAGACAGAGGACACCTGTTCCATGGGCAGCAGCATATCCTGTATATCCCCAGAGTGTTCCCTGGCTAGGATATCCATGCAGTCCTGGCATATATACAGTGGTGGAGGTCGACCTGACTGCACTGATACTGCAGGGTGGATACACAGCTGAGGGAAAAATGAAATCATAATATGTACAGTGAGATTTAACAGCTAAGAAGGCTTAAAAAGCAAATTTTCTTGCAAAATAACACACTGGACTGTCTTTTTTTTTTAATTTATTTTTAGATAATTGTTTTTACCTTAATTGCAGGCGCAGGTCCAGCTCTAGCATTGGGGCACAGCTCCCTTTGGCATGTGAATGGATTAGTGGCTAAAGAATATCGATAACACATGTATAAAATTTGCAAGTTGAGAACAAATATCTTAGAGACATCTGAGACACAACACAACTCGGGTGCTACCAATCCATTGAAAAAAAAAACATTAATGACCAAATTTATCAATGATTAAGTATTAATTTTTGATCTGGCTCAAATAAATTTTCCTCACAAATCTTAATGGTAATACAATGAAATGCTATATCTGAATAAAAAATTAGAAAATACCTGGTACTTTTGTTACTATTCCCTTTTTCTCCCTAGTATTGGGACTCATCTGGGGCCAGTATCTGAACAGTAGATTAGCAGCAGGGGCTCTGGAGGCTGGGGGACCATAGGCTATGACATTCAGTAAATCCTTGGAGATATCTTTCTTCAAACTCATCAAACATTCTAACAGCTGGGTGTGGTAGTCTGAAATATTTTGGGCACAATGTCATAAATGTTCCATGTTCATGTAGTTTGGAATGTTAGTTGAGAGCAAATGCTTTAATCTTAAAACTATATTTTAAACAACTCAAGAAATACAAAATATGCTGTGATCAAAACTAGTCTCAAGCAAGCACATGGAATGTGTCTAATCATGTACACAATTAACAAACATTGCTTCCATGAGTGATGTACATTACAAAAGTAACATACTGGTTTTGTCTAATAAAGTTTTTAAATCTGACCCTTATGCTGTCTCCTACCTTCTTTATCTGTGTACTGGAAAACCAGCATAATTATTGCAGGCACAGAGTCTGTAGCATAGGTGCACATGTCACGCATTCCAACATGGCCTAAAGTATGGAACAAATCATGATCATCATGAACAAAACATACACAGTTTGATACATTGTAGCCATCATTAACCTTTTGAGTTAAGTAATTTTCTAAACTCTATTGATCCACAAGTATTGCTGTATTTATACATAATATTACTCTTTAACATTACCAAACATTCTTCATCAAACAGAAAACACACAACAATGGTTATATCACCATCATTCTTGTTTTAATGTAACCCATCTCATTTAGCAGTTTCTGAAATTATGGCATTCAAACACCTATCATCTATCCTTAAACAGCTTGTAACTGAACACTGTCCATCCTTAACATGACATGTATGTATTATCTTCATGTCTGCGAAAAAGACATTGAAGTTTTGGAAAAGATCTTGACACCCCCCTCCCCCCCAAAGATGCTTACTAACCTAGGGTCAGAGGCAACAGGTGAGTGCACAGTAACAAGATGGTCTCTTTCTGTAGGCTAGCTGGGAAGCAGGCCAGTGTGGAGGCCACTGTGTACGGCAGACTGTCCAGGAGGTCGTACTCCAGGAAGGGGACCAGGCAACACAGGACATGGAGAGTAGCCTCTGCCAAAGCTGGAGTTATAAACAAATACAGCAAATTATGTGTATTATACTTTAATAACTGTATGCAAGACAAAAAGAAGTTGTATAACTATATGACACATTTTCAATACCTAAAAGTATCTTGGCAATCATTTGCATGAACGTTCTTTGGAGACTTGCAAACAGGAAATAATGAACAAACGCATACAAAATATTTCTAAATGCAATAATCTTTAAAATTTTTCCCATAGAAGTCGTATTGCTTAAGTAACCATAAAGAACAGAACATACACTATATTAAGTGACTTAATATTGACCAGTGCAATATTACCCCAACCCCATCTCTTAAGCCGTATCTGCACTATATGTCTCTTCCTTACCTAGCTGCCCAATCTGCACCATAGGGACAATGTCAATGACAGTCATAACAGCATAGTACAGGCCAGAGTAGTTCAGGTTAGGAAACACAGACAGCCGGATACTATCTCTCTGCCTGGCACCAAATATCTCAGTGGGCATGCTGGGTACCTCCTTCAGAACTCTGGAAACAAGTGAAATAGAATTTGCATTAACCTTCAATCTTTCTTTAACTAATATAATGTTGTATTATGTCAATGTAGGTTCCATCTAATACTACCTGTTTTGGGTAGAATTTGTGAAGCTTTCAATCTTTCTTTTACTTACCTAATTTTGTCTTATGTCAATGTAGGCTCCATCCAATAACTCAATACAAAATAGTATATCTGTCATATGAAACAGTTATCATATTTCAATAAAAACTGGAGCGGAAATTTGCAAAGCAAGCTCAGACTTTCTTCTTACCCTAGCAAAGCCTGTGAGAAGTACTTGAGTGTATTGGCCACATCAGTCCCCGTGGGCACAGGGGGGAGGTTGTTCACCACCCGGTACTGATAGTCCTTCAGAATACGGATCTTGGCAGTGACTGGAAGGAAATCATTAAAAGCTATCTCAATCATGGCATCCTTTGGTTCATACTGAATTCTTTACTTTCTTCACAGTCTGTAGTTTTTGTCCTCAATCTTTTCCGTAATATATTTTTCAACCATCTTAAAATCTTTTTTTTTTAATTTTTGTTCAATTCTTCCTCAAATGAAAAAATGTATTACAGTTTTAAAGCAAACACATTTGATAGATTAAAAAAATTATAATACTTACAAGAAGCTGCTCTAGTTCCCATGATGATGTTTCCTGTTAAAGCACCTTCCAATAAAAACTCAGTTTGCTTTGCTTAAGCAGCACCAGAAGGTAAGATACATATCACTGTGGCAAAACTATTTCATATTTCTGTCCAATCTGATCATGTTCAGGAACCACATGTAAACTTCTGTGCAAGCAGCAAAAACCTTCATGTTCAATGGTCTGTAAAGAAATTACACACATAAAACAATTAAGGAAGACTGAAATAATTTGAAAACCACTTGACTGGTATAATGAAAATTATGTGAAATGTCATGACAAACAACTGTGTACAGAGGTGGTCTTAAGGTCCAAATGATTGTTGGTCCATAACTGATTAGATTCAAATGATTCAATTTTTTTTTTTTTTGGTTTGTTTTGACATCAACTGATGACAGCATATTATGGGGAAAAAATTACAGGTAGCCAGATATTTTTTCAAACTGCAATGTTTCAACCTTCAGATCTGGGTCTTTGAACATACTACTAGTACATTTCTTTAAAACCACTTATTCTCAGGACTCAGGAGACAAGGCCCTTGCTTTCTTTGGAATTCTTCTAGATTAATATCACCTGGTACATGTACTGTACCCCCTCCTTCCCACAACAGTTTGCGTCGAAGGTAGGTAGATCACAATCCGCTAGGGGCGCTACAGTCGTAACTGTCCACGGGCAGTGAAGTGTAAAACTGAAGTCGGCCTGCTGACAGTTCGCCTATGGAACCCCTTTTTTAAATCTCTCTTTTAGCGCCGCGTAAAAAAACTAATACAAGCCATTAACTAAATAAGTTGTAAATCAAAGAGTAAAATCCGGTCACGTGATTTTCCCATGTTGCAGTCTTTGACAAGTTTCGGTTCTGCTTGTTTTAAGCTTTGCCTCTACAAAATGATAAAAAATTTCAGNCCTATCGAAGGCATTAAATTTATATATCTAGCACTAATCAAAACATCTTAGGTAGTATTATGACATCTTAATAACGTACTAATTTTAATGCAATAAATGGCAGCAGCAGAATCTGATCAGGAGAAAGACCTGTTCACTTGCGCTGCAACCTGGGGCTTTTAATTAAAATTACCGCAAATGTTTCTTGCATAAATTGGGCTATGGTGGCGCAATGCATCAATGAATCCAATGGTATAGTAATAAAGTGCCCATGTTCATGCTAAGCTATCGAAAGATATAAATACTTACATATACCCATTCCGCCGAAATTATAATTCGGCAAATGACTTGCCAATGAAAAAAATTATTTTCCTTTACCTCGATTCTGGGCACTGTAGGTGGCGCTCATCCAAGACACGACATGCAAAGATGCGCAGAGAGCCCGAATGCATCAGGTGTGAATGAGAGCACACTGAAGAGTGCAATAAAATACTGTACGTGATGACTGTGGGCACACCGTAAGCACCGTAAACCGTAACTGTACTTCGAACAAATTTGTAAAAAATATGAACATGTCCAGTTGTTTTGGTAAATTTTCTGAAAATGTGCCTGTCTGATGCTTTGCACCTATCTTTTAATGCGAGTCAAAAGAATTGCAGATGGTTTTTAAAATATAGGCTACATTTTATAAAATTCAGTCTAATATCTCTGATAAAGTTACAGATCCCACTGAAATTACAATCCGAAACTTGAAAGACGAATTTTTACCCGTTTTCCTTTTTATGCGTCTTTTAGCCTCACAACATATAAAACTTGCTATTCTTTTGTTTGTTTCTTTTTTTACTTATATGAATTTCTTTGACTAATCTTGCTATGACTAATCTTGCTAGTTGAAAGCAGTTTTGGTCATTTTAATAAGTAAGTTAAGGTTGAGGGTATCCGGGCAAACTATCTTAATTAGCGCATTAAAAATATTATATGGATTCAATTGTCATCTTATAACGAATGAGTACGCATAATCGTGGTTTTCCGAGCCTACAGCAGGTAAAGTAGTCTAAACAATCTGTTCACTGCGCTAGGAAGCTAAAAAGGCTGTGTAAGCAACATATGTTATTTTCCATCTCAGCCGCTTATTATGAGTCTATTATAAGGCGTTCATCTTGTTTTCAATACCCTCCTTGAGACTGAAAAAATATGCAAACAGAAAAAAATATTTGGAGAACTACCGATTATAGTTTGATAAGGATTGGCGGAAGTAGTTATAGTTAGTTCTTTTATAAGTAGACAATGTTTATACGACCTCAGAAAACCTACATTTCATGTAAAGGTATAAAACAACTAATTGCATGGCTTTAGGGTATGCACTATAAAGTAGATCATAAACAAAAATAGGCAATGGACTGTAAAGTGGCAAATGTTTCTTAATTCTTGCGGTAAAGAAGGTACAATGAGCCCCAAAAGTGAACTTGTTTGACTAGCGAATCAAAATCATTATCTGAATAGTGTAATCCCACCTTACACTTAATGACATCTCAGGCGTCCAGGTTTAAATGTTTTTCTAAAAAGAGAAGCAAACCACCTATATTTATTTAATGATTTCTGAAGTCGAATAATGATATATATATTCGTCTATACTTTATGGTCTACTGTATACCTCTTGGAAATGGTGACCTTTTTTTCTTTTAACATTCTTAACAGCACGTTTTGCGTTGTTTAGACTGGGTTTTAACGAAATAGTGCATTTTAATATCCAGTGCAGTTCCTTTTTTATTTACAGCAGCAAAAATGTAATCACCAACGTGTGAAGTAAAATAAATTACTTGAACCGCCAAGACTTCTTTCTTTTTTGTGTATTTCGTTCCCGTCGAGCGCTTGGATATTCTTCCCAAGGGGTGCCGCTTAACTTCAAGGAGCCAGTTGGTTTTATATATGATGGTATAGCATTGTTGCAGTTGAGAGGCTATTTAGATATTCCAAGTACGGATTACGCCGATGAGTGGAAAAAGGGATGTAAGATCCCGTTCATTTCTCAGCTTTATTGAAGACAAGTGATCTTCAGATTTGTTGATTACGCACCGAGTTCCATTAGATAAGCCATCTATTGCAAACTCTCTGCGTTGAAGGCACGTTCCCACCGCAGAAAATATAAACAGCTGTGTGAAACTTCATCAGAAAATTCACGCACATAGTTATAAAGTCTGATCACTCCAAAAGCTTACGCCTCTTACTAAATTTGTTTTCGGTGTTTGATGCTAACTTAACATTTTTCTATAGAGATATCCTTTGTTTTTATCAAACTGCACCAAATGAAGCATGTGCTCTTTAAAGTTCAAACTTCATGAGACGTGCCTCGTCTGTACAGTCACTCTGAGAGGCCGCAAGAATTTTCTGCCACTTAAGAACAAAATAAGTACCACTCACACGACAAGTACTTCCCCATGCTGTGTTTCTAATAACCACCACCTTTATATTTCTTACTCGCTTTTCCTCTTACTTTTATCATTTTTTTCTTTTTTTTAATTCAAATTTTTTATCAGAGCCCTTTTCTTTCGTAGATTTCTAACTAATTCTCCGAAAAATACTTGTAGACTTTAAATCTTTGGGAACTTACTTTAAGTTAAAATTCAATTCTATACTTTATACAGAGAAGAAATATATACGATTATATATTTTTAGAATGTCAAAGCAGAAACCAGGCTGACACGCGGTGGAATAAAAAACACCAACGTCAAAATATTGAGTAAAGAAAACGAATTATTATGGCCACAACTAAAACTATTAACAAAATAGGCGTAAGGAAAAAAATCCAACAGAAAGAAATGAATTTGTGTAGGATTTAAATAAACATCTGTGGGGGATATCTGATACCCACGTTAGACCAGCAATATAATAATAACCCAACAAAAATTGAACTTTATAAATCTACCTAAAATAATCAAAATTTGAACAAGTTAAACAGTTACAATGACTAAGTCAAGTGGTCAAGCAACAAAAGCAAGATTGTGTACAAAACCATGGGCACCACCTGTGAAGCGTTATTGGTGCGTTGAAAAATCTAAATAAAGAAAACAGCATCACAATTTATCGTAAACAATTCTCACAACATATACTCTTTTATGCAATCATTTATGAATAACGGCGTAAATGGAATGGAAGAAAATAATACAATAGAGAACCTGAGACCTATTGATTTAAGCGTGGTTCATGTAGTTGTATAGTCTACGACATTTTTCTTTGTATCCGTTGTTTATAGTCCCAAATCTCAGATCAGACTCATAAGTTTGGCAGCCAGAGTAGCGTTGACCCCTTCTCAACGTCACAGAAGTGACGAGCAGAATCACGGACCACTTCAACGAAAGAAACAGAAGAAACAGAAACCCACTCAACGAATCTTGGCTCCTGGCTGAAAATGTCCACAAAGAACAGTCATTTAATCCAGAAGAGACATTTGGAACCTTAGCCAGAGACTAAAGAAGAAGCCGAAAACGAACCAGGTATATAGTTACTGCGAACCCCATCAAGTGTTCTTTTAAAACAGCTAATGTACCTTAAGCAAAAATAATAGTGAGTGATAAACGAAGAGTATTTTGGTCTCAAAGAGTCGAGATGATCTTTAATACAAATTTCTCAGAAAATTTGATTTTTCAATTGTTTCATTAATTTATCTAGAATAATATTTGAAATAATTAAAACAATAAGCGTAAATATGCAATGTCTACCATAACAGAATAAAACTTAATTCTTTGACTTCAAAGCTTGATGAGATTCTTAATGCATTTGAGAAAAAGTTATTTGACGTTTTCATGCTTGTTCTGCAAACCATGTACGATGATTGACAAAATAACTCAACACGAATGTTACTGTAAATAAACATAACGCAAACATTATTCAAGGTAAAATCGCAATATCAACCCCTCCATGAAGTTACGAAATCAAAGGTTTGTTTAAAAAGAAAACTAACGTAATAACGTAAAATAACGTAAAATGTCTGTAACACTGTTCACTATACAATGTTAGGTCACTATCAACTTAGTCACGTACCGACTGCAAATTCCACTATACTAATGTAAGAATAGCAATCCGTTACGACACATAAATAATGCCAAATTTACCTGTTACATCACGGATTATTTCAGCTGCGGTAACATGTAATTACATTTTACAATTGAATCGATTTCAAGCAGGTATATGCAATTCTATGATTAAGGTTCAGCATTTTCTAACGCAGGTTTTCAGAAATACGTACAACAAAACGTTTTTACACAGTTAAGTGGTTGATTGAATTGAACTATAGTTACAATGTATATCTAAGTTGCTGGAGTTTTAATGATGGAATTTGATTAATTATTACCAATTATAATAGACGTAAGAGAAACGGAAGCCCTACGTGCTCTAGAAATAAGCAAACTGGATGATGCGGCACTTTATTCATATGCAGTACTTTAATCAAACCACTCCCTTCTATTCCCCAACCTAAATAAACGCCGACGGAGGAAACACAACACTAATAAAATATAAATACCTGACGATTACGTAACCCTTTATATGACAGAGGTTAAATCTCAACACTCATTTCGATCAATGTGTGACTCAATTTAAAAAGCAAATAGGGGCTGGTATGGTCTGGAGTCAGTGAAGTCATCTGCTCTAGAGGCAACCCAAAATTAATAATCATGAGCGTTACTGGCCTGGGTGGCTTGGGCATCTATCAGCTTATAAAAACATCCCTTGAGGAATAATTTCACACCACCTTGAGTAGCCAGAATTCATAGCCGACAGATACTGTTCAATACGTACAAGTAAATAAAATATATCTCGAAGGACTGTTGAACTTAGAGAAATATAAGACAAGCCAGAAGAATTATAGGTTTCATGTTCACTGTAATATACAAGGGGGTGTCGCTATAGGCAAAAGATTATTAGGCTATTACGTGCAAATAAAACACGCTCTGAATACCGAAATCTCTTACAAGTTGAACTTATCCAGGGCTGAATAGGTAGTATCTTACTGCTCCCGGGGCTGTTATTTGTCACCCCTCTAGTCATATTTCGTAAACGCAGCAGAACTCCACCATAAGAGCTATCAGCGTTTAAAAAGTTGCCGTAATAATGCTGCTGTCACAAATAATAGAATATTACAATAATTATGAACAATTCAAAAGTAGTACATTTGTTACATTTCATTAAAAGGTATTAAACGAAAAGAAGCTTCTAGTTGAATAGAAATATCGATGACAAACGCATTTCATTACTTTAGAAGTCATTCAAATAATATCTTGTAGTTCGCAAGACAGTAAAAAAATCAACAAAAAAGGCGATCGCCACACACTCTTCTTTCTTTAGTTTTAGAGCTTGAAGCCGACTATCAGATTTAAACATGGATGTGACAATACCCTCTGTTTGGCTATTGGCGAATTTAAGAAGAATACGGGCACTTGTATAGTAGAATCCACAAACAAATGTACCATCTCTGGGTGTTCCGTCAACAGCAAATTTTTAAAACAACTTAAATGGTTTCTCGCAAAATTATAAATGATCGAAAAAAAAAATATATATATATATAGGGAATGCGTATAATACCACTAACCATGGTTGAAATGTATAACTGTCAGTTTATAAGCGACACATGTACCAGAATTATCTGATGAAGTAAGAACGTTCTATAGCATTCTTTCGTAACATAAGCACCTTTAAGTAGTTCTTTTTCATACTAGTGTACTAAGCACACAGGGGCGCGGTGTATTTGGATTAATCATAAAGGTTGTTCACAACTCTTTGTATTTGGTATCCCTACGTCCGCTTTATGTAATCACATATAACAGAAATATGAAAGGAAACCATGTGCTTCCAGTACTCTGTTTTATTATTTTTATTGTTACATGGTTGTACAAAACAGTTGCCGTTAAAGGTAATACCACCATTAAGAATTTGCGAAAGGCCTGGATACACAACATATACGAATTTACTCAAGTTAACTCATGATATATCATAGCAGCTCTTAAAACTATGACTTTTTATAATACTCAAATAATATCTTATACATGTTTAAAGGTTTCCAAAAGGAAATAACCATTTGTCGACCGAGTAAAAGAGCAAGAGAGACAGGAGAGGGCGTGGTCAAGGGAGAGGTCAAAGATAGCGTTTCATTAAAATCCTTCATAATACTGCAATATTTCTCAGATATTGCCTTACTTCTTATGTATACTTTAACACGTATCCAATGACTGGCAAGGTCCGGTCACCCATTACTGTATCCATTCATGCGATTTAAGTCTATAAACTACACAAAATAGTAACGTCCGCGCGTGACTAATTCCCTATAGCTGCCCATCCAAACCTTTGAAAGTGCAACCGTCTTTCTTCCTAATCTGGGCTTAAATTTTGCGTCTTACATTACACCCTGAGTTTCAATAATGCTTAGTTGGCTTATGTTATGCTTTTCTACCATTCTACCATTTTCTACCATTGTGTTGCCCGTCATAAGCCTTTATTGTGTTTGTTTCTCGTCGTAGTTCGTATTTACAAAGTTCGCCAAGCGTAGGATTTATTTGCCTGTAGCTCTAATATAACCACTTATACTCAACAGAGTTAGGTATTTTGAGTCAATGAATAAGGACATTCAAACTCGTGAATAGAGTTCACCCCGCTTTTTCAAGACAGAACAGCAAATATAGGGTTGACATTAAAATAAACAGAACGAGGGACCAGCAAACATACAGCCACTCTACAGGGATCAGACGCTCTGTCCTCACCTTGCGTCTATCTCTCTTTAAAGATTTTTGAAAGTGGGAAATATGTATTTTAAGCATTGAGGTAGGATTATCTATTCATTGAGAAATTATATGTTTAGCAAATAGACTATAGAATTCCTTGCAAAAAATGCAGTTAGTGATTTTAAGATTAAATTCTGCTACACCCCTTTTTTCTAATTTAGTGAATGGTTATATCGAAAAAAAACTATTCTATGTGAACTGATTATTTTTCTCTGAACAATAAAAGAAAAGACATGTCCCATCTTTGTCAAAGAAGACTTTCGTATTATTCTACTGATAAATAAATTAATAAAGGGAATGTAACGAGCAGAAAACTTGCAGAGGCATTTATTGGAGGCACCATATTCTTGGCCTAGACCCCATTCCCACAGATTTTAGATCGATCTATCCCTGTGGGGAGTCTAACTAGATTACTGTCAGCTTAGCCGGCTTAAATGTCTGTCCCGCCTACTAAAAGCTGTAAGGGGATATTTAACTACCGTGCGCGCTCGGCTAACAGCAATTTAGCGTGAACCCCCAGGGAGCTAGGATCGTTATAAATCTATGGGAATGCACTCTTAGAGAACCTTTTTGAGACGGCTTGTTTGCTCATGAATGCCTTGACCAATCGCGTTAAGGTTTGCGCAAAAGCTATACAATACTTGTGTAAACTCAAACTTTCTTGCGGTAAATACCCATGGTACCGTTAGCCACCTATATGATGAAAGGGTCGAGACATTAGCTAACGTGATACTCTATCACAGTCATGGCGACAAGCCCATAGTGTCTAACTTTAATGTCGAATTGTCGAGGTTAGGGAGTGAGGTGTCATGTCCTGTTCAGAAGACGAAGATTTGGAAGGAGGTCGAGGGGAAATTGATAAAGAGATTCCGTTATATATGTAAAGGTATGTCGATGTGGAGCTGATGGACACCTAGAGCTCAAAGTTAACTTGTCTCAATTATATCATATTGCAATTTATTAAATATTTCGGAGAGAGAGAAAGAGAGAGAGAGAGATGGAACTGTCATGGTTGTGCCGTGACATATAACATGAACTAATTGTAAGTCAACGCATGGTAAATGCAATAGTTTTTCGTGTCTCTAAACCAAAAACTGAACATAAGCCTGCCTCTTTTTTGTCCGAGATTTTAGTGTTAACACGAGGATAGTGCGTCTTTATGTTAAATAATGTTCTAATTTTCATAAAATTATCAATGCCTGTCAGTACTATTTGTTTTACTGACACTTTATTTGGAGGATGTCTTGGTTATGATCTTGTGACTAATGCTTCATAACACGTGATTCTCTAGAACTATTGTAGGCTATGAATAAAAAAATGCCCCCTCATATTCCCACGCTCCTACTCTTTTTGGCGATTCTTCCTGTGGCTATTCCTCCTTACTTCGAACAACTATCCTTGCTCACTGAAATTGCCCTAACTGCAATTGCCGAAAAATTACTTCTCTAAATATTACATCACGCCGCGAAAAAAAAGTCAAAACTCGTATCAGAAAAAGCAGCTGGGTTAACATAAAGGGTGAGATGAAGGCTCTGAATCGAAGTTAGTAATATTGCCTGTTGAGTTGCACGCCGTCCATGAATAATGTTTCTGTCTAGGTCGTTAATCAGCGTTTAATTGTGGCACCTGCTTTCTCTAAAAACATGGAGCCAAGATAGAAAGAAAACAATGCTTTCGCGTGTCACGGTTTTTGAAAAACACCTTGATTTGAAATTCGAACGGTTAATTTTGTTTGTTTTAAATTTGACTTCAAACTATTCATAAATGGTATACGGATTTTTAAAAAGTAGAAAGGAATGAAAACTGAGCATTCCATCTTAAGGGAAACATGAAATAACACTTCATTTCAAGTAGCGTATCAAACGAATGGTCAAGACGTTACATTTTACAGCACGAAGTAAATATTAATTTAGCTGATCGTGTAAACTGTTGAGAGCGCCTTCATTTATTTCCAACAAATAACGTTAATAACGTTAACATAAAACATTTGACCCTCATTGACAGAAAGAGAAAGACTCACAGAATGGTAAATTTATCAGCAAAGTCTGGAGGCGTAATCTTGTCTTCAGGGGAATATCAGCAATAAACTGCAAGAAGAGATTTTGTTTACTATGCAGAATACTCCTATTGAGGGGGAGTCAAAGGGTGATCAGGTGTCACGGCTCACCGAACCCCCTCCGCTTCAGGCAGCAACGCGTGAGAAAAAGTTTTCAAGCACTTAAAGCCTATCTGTTATAAATTTTCTCAGCAAATTTGCTTGATGAATTCGGTATAATTGAGCATCTTAGTTATATCACACCTGTTGACATTTTGAAGAAAAGCTAACTGTTTCGCTGTTGTCATGCTCATTATAAATTGATGGCCAAACAAAAGCAAATTTGAGACACCAATCTAAACCTCTTTAATCTTAAAATCCCTAAGTCAATTTGTTTGACGGGAAAACAATTTGTAGTGGATTTTCAATAAAAAACAAAATGAATAAATGACAATTAATGAACATTGAATGAGACTCCAAGGACCAAGGCAATTTTAATGGAACGTCAAGCAGTAGATAATTGTGCTTTTCGCTTGCCTGAGAAACAAATTGTAAATTCCTTTCATAAACACGTTAAGAAATTACGACACATTTAGCATAGACATTAAAAAAAATGAAATAAAACTAAGATGTTGATGAAACATTCTATAATACAGACAGAATTACAACTACCTATTTAAATTACTAATTGAATCGTAGAATATGAGTTTATATGTAACTAGATAGAATTTGCTAAATATAAATTCACCAATGACATTTCAAATTTTCCTTTTTTCAGCTCTAATAAGATGGCACCGTTTACTGAATATTTACGACCCATCCTTAAGAGCCTTCGAAGCGACGATGACTCCTTCGACAGGCTAAACCACAGGTACTCGGCGGCGGTCCTGCTCGTGTTTGCCCTTTTGACCACCATGAAGCAGTACGTCGGCGAGCCTATTCTTTGCTGGGTGCCAGGTAGATTCACAGGAGCAATGGAAGACTATACGAACGCCATGTGCTGGATTTCAAACACCTACTGGGTTCCGTTTGAAACAAGAATTCCCAATCCAGACGACCCCAAGCCGCATATTGCCTACTATCAGTGGGTTCCCATTGTCCTCCTTCTGCAGGCTTTGCTTTTCAAATTACCTTGTGTTGCCTGGCGGCTGCTAAGTTACAATTCAGGAATAGACATCCAGGCCATGTTCAAAAAGCTAGAAAGAGACGAGATCATAGAGCACAAGAAAATGAAGAGCAACGTTAAAGAGGTAACCCGTTATTTAGCGCGTTATCTAGACGCTACCCGAGACCAGCCCCACGGATGCTGCGCCTGGGCCCGTCGTATAATGAGTAGCTATCTTTGCGTGTGTGTAGGGAAACGCAGAGGAAATTATCTCTACATGTTGTTCTTATGGATTAAGATTTTGTACATGGTGAACGGTCTTGGTCAGATGTTTCTCCTAAACGCGTTTCTTGGCACACAATTTACCATGTATGGCTACCAAATAATAGAAGATCTCATAAACTGGAGGGACTGGACGGAAACGGGACGGTTCCCCAGAACAACATTATGTGACATCAAAATACGCGAATTGGGGGGCAACATACACCGCCACACCATTCAATGCGGACTGCCTATTAACTTCTTCAACGAGAGGATCTACATGTTCCTCTGGTTTTGGCTAGTGTTTGTGTCAGCTGGAACAATATTTGGGTTCTTTACATGGATGAGTCTCTTCTCGGTCAATGAACGGAAAGTGTTTGTGAAGAAAACGATTTCCATGACCGGCAAAGGCGACTCCATTGAACAGAACCGAGACACTAAACGGTTGAAAAACTTCGTTACCAAATATTTGAGAATGGACGGGGTGTTTGTGCTAAAACTTCTTGCCAAGAACACCAGCGATGTCGTGATTTCCAGAGTGGTGTATAGCCTATGGAAGAGATATCTGAAACGCCACAAAGAACTCCAGCCTGATGGGTTGCCACTAACTCCAAAAGCAAACGACGCTTCCAGTCCCAGCGCTCCACCAACTGATGCAGACGACAGTGAACCTCCTAAAGGCCTTTGATTTATTAAGAAATCATTCAAAGTTGACGAAGTAAAAATGCACTTTGTCTTTGTCTTCCAAACTATGACATTTTTTTCACCCATGACAGGAACACCTGATCCATTTATGCATGTATTGTATGTAAAAAAATGTGATTTTTTATTATATTNAATGGAACGTCAAGCAGTAGATAATTGTGCTTTTCGCTTGCCTGAGAAACAAATTGTAAATTCCTTTCATAAACACGTTAAGAAATTACGACACATTTAGCATAGACATTAAAAAAAATGAAATAAAACTAAGATGTTGATGAAACATTCTATAATACAGACAGAATTACAACTACCTATTTAAATTACTAATTGAATCGTAGAATATGAGTTTATATGTAACTAGATAGAATTTGCTAAATATAAATTCACCAATGACATTTCAAATTTTCCTTTTTTCAGCTCTAATAAGATGGCACCGTTTACTGAATATTTACGACCCATCCTTAAGAGCCTTCGAAGCGACGATGACTCCTTCGACAGGCTAAACCACAGGTACTCGGCGGCGGTCCTGCTCGTGTTTGCCCTTTTGACCACCATGAAGCAGTACGTCGGCGAGCCTATTCTTTGCTGGGTGCCAGGTAGATTCACAGGAGCAATGGAAGACTATACGAACGCCATGTGCTGGATTTCAAACACCTACTGGGTTCCGTTTGAAACAAGAATTCCCAATCCAGACGACCCCAAGCCGCATATTGCCTACTATCAGTGGGTTCCCATTGTCCTCCTTCTGCAGGCTTTGCTTTTCAAATTACCTTGTGTTGCCTGGCGGCTGCTAAGTTACAATTCAGGAATAGACATCCAGGCCATGTTCAAAAAGCTAGAAAGAGACGAGATCATAGAGCACAAGAAAATGAAGAGCAACGTTAAAGAGGTAACCCGTTATTTAGCGCGTTATCTAGACGCTACCCGAGACCAGCCCCACGGATGCTGCGCCTGGGCCCGTCGTATAATGAGTAGCTATCTTTGCGTGTGTGTAGGGAAACGCAGAGGAAATTATCTCTACATGTTGTTCTTATGGATTAAGATTTTGTACATGGTGAACGGTCTTGGTCAGATGTTTCTCCTAAACGCGTTTCTTGGCACACAATTTACCATGTATGGCTACCAAATAATAGAAGATCTCATAAACTGGAGGGACTGGACGGAAACGGGACGGTTCCCCAGAACAACATTATGTGACATCAAAATACGCGAATTGGGGGGCAACATACACCGCCACACCATTCAATGCGGACTGCCTATTAACTTCTTCAACGAGAGGATCTACATGTTCCTCTGGTTTTGGCTAGTGTTTGTGTCAGCTGGAACAATATTTGGGTTCTTTACATGGATGAGTCTCTTCTCGGTCAATGAACGGAAAGTGTTTGTGAAGAAAACGATTTCCATGACCGGCAAAGGCGACTCCATTGAACAGAACCGAGACACTAAACGGTTGAAAAACTTCGTTACCAAATATTTGAGAATGGACGGGGTGTTTGTGCTAAAACTTCTTGCCAAGAACACTAGCGATGTCGTGATTTCCAGAGTGGTGTATAGCCTATGGAAGAGATATCTGAAACGCCACAAAGAACTCCAGCCTGATGGGTTGCCACTAACTCCAAAAGCAAACGACGCTTCCAGTCCCAGCGCTCCACCAACTGATGCAGACGACAGTGAACCTCCTAAAGGCCTTTGATTTATTAAGAAATCATTCAAAGTTGACGAAGTAAAAATGCACTTTGTCTTTGTCTTCCAAACTATGACATTTTTTTCACCCATGACAGGAACACCTGATCCATTTATGCATGTATTGTATGTAAAAAAATGTGATTTTTTATTATATTTTTTGTATACATATCTAAGTACATCGAATATTTTTAACCCATTTAATGTATAGCCAGTGGATAAAATTAGCCGTAATCTTTCACAGGCATTTCTAGGCACTTTTATTATTGCATGTTTAAAAAATGGAGCTTGAGTTGTGAAGTCTTTAACGTAGCTTCTTAGAGATGATTATGCTATGGTTTATGGATTGAATTTATCTAATTAAGATGACAAGGCATCGCCATCAATCATGTGACCAGTTGTCTAAAACCCATACAATCAGTTTTAAGCGATTCCTTCTACCCACCCATTATGCACAAATAATTACGACAGCTTTGAAAAAATATTATTAGTAATCGAGACGTTCGCAAACACCATAAATCAAAATACTGAACGCGATGATACGACTAGTGTAGAAAGTCCCATTCATCCATATCATGTTAGTGAATTTAGTGCATAAACAAAAAAGAAATCATTCTACGGTAGTTTGTGTATGGCAGTGTTTCCAAAGCAAACAGTTAGAACTGCGGCGTGGTAGCAGGTTAAATACAGATTGTGCAATTAAGGTGCTACCTTTGTGAGGGAGGAATGATATCAATTCTCATTTTAAACCGTCGATCTCAATATTAACATTCCTGTATTGTTAGCAAGGTAGTTGATGTGACGATTGCGTATTTTAGCCACGTATCTGGAGGCAAACACCGGCGGATAGGTTGCCAATGGGCGTTGGAGGAAGCGCGTTAAGTTTTGCCTCATGACAATAGGTTAATATACTATGTAAGCAAAACGACGTCATTTTTCACAAAGTAAATCTTAAATACAAATGTTTGTTAGGTACAGTGTATTTCACAGTAGCGTGAAGTACTATTGGTTGTCTTCCATATTTTACTCAAACATTAGATATGGCTATTTTGCCGGTTTTGTTCCATTTTAATATATGCTGTTTTGTAGTTATAATCTAACGCTTTTCACTAGACTTGTTAATTTGACCTAAATGTTATAAATGCAAATTGATAATCAAATACAACTACAATGCATTTTTTCACGTCAAGCTCACAAGAACTTATTTTCCATGTTATACATAGAATGTCTTCCGTCCAATTGAGTCTTCTGTAAGGAAATTTCCGCATTCGCCCTTGCTCACTTGATATTTTTATTGTACATATTGTCCAGTATGTCCAATATTTGAACGACTTAGGAATACACATTTTAATCCGTCCAAGGTAGTATATTTAAAGATTATAAACCGCTTGTCAACTCAGTAAACATAATATTTTAATAATTTGAAAGATTACAGTGGTCATATTTTTCATAACAGTAGAGCAATTCCACAACCAGAGAAAGCATTCCAAACCAATTCTAATTTCTAGAATCTGTGTTTGTGCAATTGCCAAATAGAAAATTTTATTTTTATACCTTATCATTCCGTCCTTAAAAACGTTTTATAAGGGGTTTATATTTGGTTGAGGCCTATGTTATACCATACATTGAAAATCACAATAGATATTGACATATCTGGCTTTTGTGAAACATGTTTGATAGATATATGAAATTTTTGAACAATTTAACTTTTTATATTTTGAATTCTGTATTTATAATGTGTTTTTATTCACTTGTTCATTATTAAGTTTCATACACAGTTAGTGTTACTTTACAACGAAATATGTGTGATATGTCTGACTGCCACTTTTTTCATGTTTCAAACATGCTGAAAATAGACATATTCAAAGTTATATTGTTTTGCATTTGGTCTCTCTGAATATGGAGATTTGTTTTTGAACATTTGTATTGCACTTTAATTGCCACTGTTTCATAATGTCCGTCTAAACGATGTTTTTGTAGATGCCACATTTGCACGCGCACTTTATCCAGAATAAAAATAAGTAAATGAAATGAATTTGCTTCTGTATTCGATTTATCTTTAAATACATATGTATATAACGAGCCAGCTGAAGCTTCCACGTGTTGACAACTAATCTGAGTTCAAACATTCAGAAATGTACACCGAAAAACTGTACAAGGCTTGCACATCAGACTTGTAATTTTTTTTTTTTTTAGGAAAATAGGCTTACTATCTATAATTTTTTTAAAAGTATTATTACAAAAAAAAACAAAAACAAAAAAAAACATAAAATCTCTCTCTCTCTCTCACACACACACACGCACACACGGAATAACCCGTTTACGCGCATTTTCAAACTTGTCCTGCAGGAACCACAGGTAAGCCATGCAGCAATGTCATCATGCCTTGTTTTGATTGTAACTTTTAGTTTGGAAAAACATCTAAAATACGAGGCAACGCAGAGACTGACAATGTCGAGAGATGGCATACGAAATTTAAAGATCGATTCAGCCAATACATTTTGTTTAATAAAGGGAAACGCTGTCGCTGACAATTGACATGAAGTGTCAAACACGTATTTAAGATTCCTTTGATGGAATATTTGAGCTAAGGAGCCGTCCCTTTTGTCTCAATGTCATGCACAGAATTTGCGTCATTTGAAAACAGAATACAATTGGTGGGTATATTTTCAGGACGTTCACACACACAAGAAACGGTATCTTTTAAAGAAAGGTTAAAGGGAAATTCAAAGATCAAAGAGAGTTTTTGTAAAGAAGCATTACATTATGGCACATAAACCGATTCAATGTAACGGCACATATTCGCCCATGTTTGCTGAACGTTTAAACCTTCAAGGGGGTGACACATGCACGTGAAGTTTTTAAATAACACCGCCAACAATGGCCATTGCAAAGAATAACCGATTCCGAAAACAACCCTTCATTCAAGGACCAACTTACATAAATATAAACCTACATTTCTGATAAAAAGAAAAGAAGAATAAATTCACGGCTCCATTTGCCGCTGTTTTAGAACAACTAAGCATGTATTTTTTCTTCTAGTTTGGCTATTTTCTGCTTACAATGCTTCTTTCTGCCCACTCGTAAAGGTCAACTCGATTAATATCCACGTCAGTAATTCACATTTTGAAAATCCAGACATGGATTACAAAACCCTTAACCAAAGAAAACAACAACGGACTTTGAAAGGGGGAGATTTGCATATCAATACTTTTATCAACAAATACCCATGTTGGCCTCCCTTCTTATAGAACGGTCTGGTGCTGCTCGGACATGGTACACAAGAAGATGGAGACGCCGCTATTTTGAACTACTTCTGATGAAACATTGAGGAAAAGTAATCAAAACATTTCATTTCTTAGCATTAAAACATGTAAGTATTAAGCATACTGTGTTCTAACGCGAATATGTTATCTTGCAATAATAAGAAGGGAAAATCGAGTGAAAAGACAGAGTTAATTGGCCTATTTGTTAACCTTAACATTTCTGCACATATTGCCTCCAAGATTAACATGAGCAATTGACCAATATTCTACCCTCTGAAGTAGTAAAACTCCTGCTAGGATAGCGGCATATACACTGTTTATCAGAGGCATACTGAAAGGAAGGAGGGTATTCAAAAGTTGTACTCTAACGGACAGCCCAGGGAATATATGGTTAAGTTTTGTTTTGGCATGTAGGAAAATTGGCGTGCAATTGTTAAAACACAAATGTAATGTGACATTAGAACCCACAAGTCTCTCTAAATCTCCCGGAAAGAGGAATTTAATAATTTTTGACAAGCGCACAAGCATCCAAACTGGCCTTTTTAACTGATCAAATTTAACAACATTATTTACATAAAGACCTACGTTTCTTTCAAACATATTCGAAAAACGTTCATTAATATCAACAACTAAAGATTTTATATCAGTCACCTAATGATCTATTTGTTTTTGTTTCCAGCAAAATGATTTCCGAAAGCATTAGTGTGATGCGGAAGATCTTCCAAGGTCTTCGAGCAGACGAGGATTTCTACAATCGCCTCAGCAACAGATGGACGGTCATTCTGTTGATTGTCTTCTCTCTGTTCATCAACATGAAGCAATACGCAGGGTCACCAATCATCTGCTGGGTCCCAAAGCATTTCACATCGTCCTGGAAGAAGTACACAAATCAGATGTGTTTTATCGAACCGATGTACCACGTGCCCTTTCAAGAGAGGATACCAGATCCTGACTTGCCAACGCCTCATTTTACATATTACATTTGGATCCCTCTCGTCCTTCTTGTCCAAGCCGCCATGTTCTATGTTCCAAGAGCGATTTGGCGCCTCATGTGTGGATCGGCTGGGGTTAACGTGAGAAGTATTGTACTCATCATGGAAAAAGAAGAAAATATGAATAATGATAAAAGAAAAGGCAATGTCGATCTGGTGACCAGGTATCTTGAAAGATTTTTGATGCGATCGCGGAAATACAAGTTAGATTGTAAGGGATACGTGAGACGCATTCTTGTTGGCTACTGGTGTTTTTGTGTTGGACGTGCCAAGGGTAATTATCTCTTCTTCCTATTCTTGTGGTGCAAAGTACTCTACGTTTTAAACATCATTGGACAGATGTTCTTGCTGAACGCTTTCCTCAGCACCGATTTCCATTCCTTTGGCACAGAGATCATGGCAGACATAATGCAATGGCGGGACTGGACAGAAACGATGCGGTTCCCCAGGGTCATTCTTTGTAACCTGAAGATCCGCGTCCTGGGTGGAAACATCCATCGCCATACACTCCAATGTGCGCTGCCCGTGAACTATTTCAACGAAAGAATCTATTTGTTCATTTGGTTCTGGTTTCTGTTTCTCACCGTTGCCACAATTATGGGTTTCTTCGTCTGGCTCAGCATGGTATTTACTAGGGAAAGGCAGCACTTTATCGTTAACTCCTTAAAGATTAAGGGACTTATAAAGAGTGGATACAAGCCACACAGAGAAGATATTAGGGAGTTCGTGGAGGACTACCTAAGAATGGACGGTGCGTTCCTCCTGAAGCTCATGGCTAGGAATACTAGCGATATAGCAGTGGCAGACGTGGTATGCAAACTGTTCAAAAGGTTTCAGAACAGAAAATACAACAACAACCTTGATAACGATGGCGAAGGTATTCCAATGACTGAAAACGAAGCACCAGGCCGGCCAAATGGAACGTACCCGAAGCTACCAGAACATCAAGACTGATGAAGTAAATCTAAATAACGTGTGTAATATATGTTGGTGAGGTTCATGATTTAAAAGCAGAAAGATCAAATGGGGGAAAACAAATCTCATTGACTTGTTTACAATGGTCTGATTGCTGCACAGCTTCCGTTGGAAAATTTATTACAAAAACGACGACTTTGTATCAAAATCGAATGGCTCAATTGGCTTATCACCCGCACATCACATCAGTTTTACACTGCTTGTAATTAATGTCACCTGGAATGTAATATATTATCACCCGAGAACTGCCATTAGCCAAGCGACGTCTAAGATTCTTTAAACTATACATGTCTGACCATATGAACTATGGACAGCACATATTCAAATTCACTGCTATTTTGGGTTTAACTTGCATGTGCTTGCTATGATAATTTGATCTCACCTATAAATGATTATAGTTCACTTTGTCTTTTAGTTCACGCAAATTGGGAATGGCTGTTTCCAACTCATTTTAAACCAGTCAAAATATTAACATTTGGCCGATTTATGATATATTTAGGATGCCTGGAAGAGACGGGAATAATGTATGGGGCAGGATCCGCATATTTTTATGCCTTTTACTGTACATAACATGCTTTATTCAGTGTAGCGTACGCATCTACATGGCAGATTAAAATGTACATGTCTCACATTTACGAATAAAACACTTTTATTTTTTGTTTTCAAATAAAACCAGTATTTGTTGATTTAAGTCCCCAAAGCTTAAAATTCAGTGGCGGACATGGGGAGGGGGTCAGGGGGTCCTGACCCCCCCCCCCCCCCATTCGATTACTGAAAAAAATCACATCAATGCTCCCCTCTTGAAATTAGTATTTTGACTAGCTGAATCTTAGTTCTAAACCGTACCAAATGGCACAGTTCGACCTCTAAAATACCCAAAGTTTCGCATCCGCGGCCTGTCATTCCAAAAAACCGGACCCTGCCCTTCAAACAAACGTGTAGTCGCCACTGATAATGCAGTATTTGACATGGGTTGCAATTAATTTATTAATATCAGAAATATGTATACGGAGCGGGAAAAAAGTTTGCAAAATATGTAAATATGTAAGGTACCATTCACGAAGGATAATAAACGAAGATGGTTTAGTAACATAGAAAAAATAAATTTCAGATTCATTTTTGTAGCCAAATAAAGTACTTTGGAACATATCAAGACAAAAATATAAAATAAATGAATAAATCCACAGTGCTACAGGCAAAGGCACACGTAATAATATATATCTGGGTACGTTTCATGCTCCAACGCATTTAGTGCTATTGATTTTCGCAACCGGGTCTGTCTCTACTGACGCATTTTAATAGAATATCGCTGCCATACAGACCCAACATGTTCTATGGCACACTGGCAACATAGCACTAAACGGCTACTTGTATAAAAATTTTATCAATCAATGAAGTCGACATGTGTAATATAATCAACGTTAGAACTAAAATAATAATAATAATATATAGTAAGTGGGGCAGGTATATTTCTGCAAGCGTCCCCAAGCGAACTGCAAGCATTCAAGTTTTATATACCAGTATGGTCGCATTTAGAACAGTGGACTAACTTGTCCGAGGGTCGAATATGGCCGACCCGCTTGAATACTTCTCCATGGGAAATCTATTCAGTGTCTATTAGCAGATTAGACGGCAAGTTTTTTAGTGGGTCGCCATATTTGACCCTCGAACTTGTTAGTCCACTGTTCTGAATGCGGCCTATGTGTGTAGAGTAGGCCTACTCCATTCCAGTCTTTTTATTTTAATCTCAAATAAACACAGATGTCTAATAATACATATTGCATCCTTCAAAAGAGAAAGGACAAGGTTTCTTTAACGAAGTACCCTGTAACTATTATCTAATTTTTAAAAACTTCCGTGGGGATACTGCATTTACCAGTACAAGATTAAATGAGCTCATTTCTATGAAAAAAGCTTGAATTAAATGCTCTCATGTAGCAGGCGTTTGCTCATAGAATTTAAATTAGTTCTTCCAAAGACCGTAACGGCTGTGACTTTCCTACAAAGATGTAACAAAATAGGACCAACGATGATAAGAAAATTTCAGCCACATTTTCTTCATCGACCTTTAAATAAATCAGATTCGTAATAAGATCCGAAAATATCAACCCCTTCTTGGTGAATTTGAAAAGAAATAAATTTGCATTGTATAGCTTTTCAATTCCTTGGCACGTGCCCCTGTGCTAATTTAATTTGGTGTAGATTCATGAGATGCGAGACGGTGTGTGTCAAAAATATGTCGCCCTCGGTGACCGTGTATAGGTATACTCTAAGAACCCAGCTCAGAGGTCACGGATCATATATACAAACAACTACCGAATGATTACAAAGATTTCATGCCCCGGGAAGGGAAACGGGCAGACTTGCCTGCAAACAAAGTACAGGGGTGTTTTCAGACAATACATCTTACAACGGATCTTCCAACTGGAGTAGGAAGGCAATTAAAATACCGAAGAAAGCGTTTGTTATGTAGATCTGAAACGAATAATACATTTCCCCCGCTGTTTACATAGGACATTGTGAACCTGCCTTTCATTCAGCGAGCAAAGTTGTGTATGAATGAAAAAGCACTGTGTGAGTAAGATTAAGATTAATAATACAATCATATTTATAGGATTGGTCCCCAACGAACGTAGACTGTGCTGTACGTGTGTACAACATAACGCAAATTGTTGGCAGTTTCTCGGAATTTCACCTTATGAGAGATAAAATACGGTAGTCTATCAAATTGGCGGCATTATAACGGCTTAACGTGAAACGGAGGTGTTTGCCAGTTGAGATTGCTGTTTATGATACTCAACTCACCCGAAAACACGCTGAGAACAACAAAGAAGGCAAGTTACATATTCGAATTCGGAAAAATTAAACATTCTCGTTTTCAGAACTAGTTTTGAACTTTTTTTTCTTCGTACAGAGTTATATATAAATATGAAGCTTAACAACATTACTTTGGACATATCAGTACTATTCTTATGTGTTATAATTTGATATAACTGATCAGAACTTTTAATTTTTATTTTCACTTGACTGAATTCAAAATCTGCTGACCAGGAGTAGGCTACGTTACGCATACGTTGTATCAGAGGGAAAAAACAATATGTTAATATGTGCTATCTTTGAGGACACATCTTCAGCAATTACCAATTCTGTACATTTCTTTAGTGAATATATGATACAATTTATGTCATTGTAGCTTGAGAGAGAGAGAGAGAGAGAGAGCGCTTGAGCTTTAGCATACAAACACACCTCTCGTCTTTTACTCGGGTTAATCTGTTGGTCTATACACACAGTAAAATAACGCCCAAGTGTACACTGAAATGTTGAGTGCACGTTGATCTTACACACACAAAATGAATTCGGATACAGTCTTAAAATTTCTAAATTCAATACCGTATAAAAGACTTGTGGCATTCACCGTCTGCCGATCATAAATTATACGGTAAATCAGGCCCCTCTGGAAGTCATTTCGTTAGGTCTGTACTGGAGGGAAGTTTTAAACATGTTCATCATATTTTTCCTAACAGTGTCCTATTAGGTATAATTACCACAAAAGGGAATATGTGTGGTTGTAGCAGTTATTCTTTTCTATGGCCAAATTATATCGGGCAGTTTGCTACTTATGTGTTTACAAACAAATGGTCAATATTTAGATCAGAAGGCATACTTTGTAATCACCACGAGTTCCAACCACCACAAAAGATTATCAAAATACGTTGACAACCACGGTCATTTTTACGCTGAATAAAGACCATCCTCATAGAGGCAATATGAAATAGCCGTACTCTGGTAAACTGTTGTATAACAGGGTCTTCAGATACCTACTACAGGTAACGGCTGATGTAACAGCAAGACTTATTGCTAATTTGAAATCGCAGTTCTTTGCTTAGTCCTGAGAGTTATTTTGTGTTGTTTGTGGTGCAGAGCATATCAATTTCATGCGCGTTATAGCTCGTAAGCTTTCGCCTTGGCACAGAGAAACAGTACATATTAAGTGTAATGTTAGAGTAAAACCAGCACCGATTTTTTGTTTAACTATAAAACATCCCAAACAAATATACAAACTCTTCGGGTGACATCCACCAGGGAGGTAACGGTGCATGTCAATTTTAGTCACAAGTGCGTTAAGAAAGGTGTCATAAAAATACGTAATCAAAGTGTGTGTTGTTTAAATAATACTCACCGGCTCGACAAATGACATAATGTAAACTAACCAGAATAATGTTGTATTGGGCAAATATATTAACGGTATCTTGATTTCTTAAAATAAAAGGCTACCCTGTCTGCCAGGACAAAAGGAGGTGTGTGAGGGGCGAGAGGGAGATCCTGAATGCTGATCCCCAGATAAAATTATTCCCCAAAAAGGTGACGAGGTATATAGCCACAGAATGTTACGTTGTCTGACTCCCCAAAATATAGTGGCTGTTCCATACAGGAACTGTATGAAATCATATTTTCATGTCCTTTTGTTTCCTTTTCAGCAAAATGATTTCGGAGAGCATCAAGGTGATGAGAAAGGTGCTGCAAGGTCTTCGAGCAGACGAAGACTTTTACAACCGCCTCAGTCACCGATGGACGGTTTTGATTCTGGTGGTCTTTTCTTTGTTTGTCAACATGAAGCAGTACGCAGGGTCCCCCATCATATGCTGGGTTCCGGATAAATTTACCAGCGCATGGAAAAAATACACGAATCAGATGTGCTTCATAGAACCCATGTACTTCATTCCATTTCAAGAGAGGATACCAGATCCTGAATTACCAACACCACATTTTACATATTACATTTGGATTCCCCTCGTGCTTCTCGTACAAGCGGCCATGTTTTATGCTCCTCGCGTCGTCTGGCGTTTGATGTGTGGTTCGGCTGGAATAAATATCAGGAGCATAATACTATTATTAGAAAAAGAAACTATGAACAATGAAAAAAGAAAAAATAATGTTGATCTCGTCTGCAAATACATTGAACGTTTTCTTGGTCGATGTAGAAAGTACAAAATTGACTGTAAAGGGTATGTGAGACGCATACTTATTGGCTACTGGTGCTTTTGTGTCGGACGCGCCAAGGGCAATTATCTCTTCTTCTTGTTCCTCTGGTGCAAGGTGCTCTACGTTTTAAATATAATAGGACAGATGTTTTTACTGAACTGGTTTCTAAGCACCGACTTCCATTCCTATGGCACTGAGATAATAGCAGACTTCATGCAATGGCGGGACTGGACTGAAACTTCACGATTCCCCAGGGTTATTCTTTGTAACCTGAAGATCCGCGTCTTGGGTGGAAACATCCATCGTCATACAGTCCAGTGTGCGCTGCCTGTGAACTATTTCAACGAAAGAATCTATTTGTTTATTTGGTTTTGGTTTCTGTTGTTGACCATTGCCACAATCATGGGGTTTTTCATATGGGTCAGTTTAGCATTTCAGAGGGAAAGGCAATATTTCGTCAGGAATTGCCTTAAAATAAAGGGACTTCTTAAACCGGGCAGTAAACCGGACAAAAATGATCTCAACGAGTTTGTCAGAGACTTCCTAAGACTGGACGGAGCGTTCATTTTAAAACTCATGGCCAGAAACACAAATGACATCGTTGTGGCAGATATTGTTTGCAAACTTTTTAAGCGATTCCAAACGAAAAAATACAAAAACAACAATGGTGATATTACAGACCCTACCAACACCACTGTAAATGGAGGCATACGAAATGGAGGACATCTGAAAGAAGTCTAGTGATAGCATAAACATACGTTAAAAAGAGACAACAGGAACTCGTTTAATACTTAATTAATTTGTATACAATTTCCACTTTATTTCTGGTTTAAAATGCACCGAGTGTTCACTGTGTGGATGATTTTTAATATTAGGGTAATGTTACTTAACGGCTGTAAATTCACCTTTCCACTGAGTGAAAACATTTGATAATTTCACAGTTTGGTCACAGTTTGATGTTAGAGTTTACTTTAGAGTCTACAGACTTCACAGCACTGATTCAGTTCAGGTGAAATCAAGATAATTGTGAAACCCGGTTCATTTCATAAATAACGAATCTTTCAGGTCACTTAAGAAAAGACAAGTAGGCCTAATTGCTCAAATAACATCAATGCATAATAAATACATGTAAATGAAGGGACAATAAGAAGATTAATAAAAAAAAAGTGTCTTGGTTATATTTTTATTCACTTTAGCTAATAAGACGCCGTATTGCATTGTATATGAAGAAGGAAAACAAAATATCGTGATTTTAGACAACTATGATAACGCTAAAAAATCCAAAATAATAGTAAAACAAGTTTTACATATTATTTTAAACCCAGGTAAAATCTTAATAATTGCTCGCACCGTAGATCTAGGGGCCTATAAAAAATCGACCCTAGCTTCTTTTTTTCCGTGAAACACCATAGATTAAACAAACTAAAACAATACTTTATTTTGTCTATCCAGCCTGTTTTGAAATTTGGTAATCCGTCTTCAGAATATAGTGCGTGAGAAAGTGAGAGGCGAATTCTGCTGTATTACAAAGGGAATCTTGAGTTTAGATTCAAAGCAGTGCATCTTCGGACTTATGAATCTTACACTTTATCTTAAAATTATCAAACCCATAAACAGTACCAACAGTAGCTCAAAAGCACAAAGGAAAATAGTATTGGGGAACTGCATCTACCTCCAGCAAACATCAATCTATTATTGGTTGTGCGCGTGCGCTAGTATCAAAACGTAAACATCCGGTGTGGCGCGACAGGGCAGTTGACAAATATGTGGATCTTCGGGTATGGTTCACTGATATGGAAAGTTGATTTTCCTTATGAGCAAAAAGTGATTGGGTACATTAAAGGTTTTCGCAGACGATTTTGGCAAGCCAGTGAAGATCATCGAGGCGTGCCAGGAAATGTAAGATTTGTGTCAAGGTGATCAACCCATAACGTATGGACATAAAACAGTACCTGAACCTGTACGGTTGTCTCTAATTTTCTGCCTTACATTGTTGTGTTCGTGTCATGTACCTACCACAGGTAGTATGTAAGGCCGAAAAGTGAGGCAAATGTTAATGAAGCACTGAAGGTGAAAAGAACCAGTCATTCCATCGTCTCCACTGAAATTCTGTTTTTAAACAGTTTGGCTAAAAACCAGCAAATCCAGAGACTATATACCCTTTAAATTAAAGAGGAGGGCTTCATATCATGGAAGGGGGGGGAATCAAGATAGTTAATCATGGTTACTATGTGTGATAAGGAATCAAGCTATTTATATTATGTACAGTTATAGAGTGCCTCACATAGTGTCTATATATATTTCTTGATGTTAATGCCAACATGTTGTTAAAATGTTAAAATAACTCTGAATGCATCTTGACATTCATCTGGATCAGATCTCCTTTTAGACATTTAGATCTCTTCTTTTTGCAATTTGTCTAAATACAGTATAACAGAAATATTGTTGTCTTAATTATAGCCTGGCCGAGTGGTTGTATTGGTGAAGTCAGAGGATCGTGAGGTAATTTTACTAGCACCACTTATTTAACTTTGTAAGCTTTATTTTGCCATAACTTATGCGCATGTTAACAGTGAAAGATTGTTTGTAAAAAGGTTTTCAAGTCATGGGAAAGAGAGCCCTAACGTCAGAACTGTATGTCTTTGAGGCTACAGCAAAATCAAAATTACACTTTACAACTTATTTTAAGAAAATTTGCACCCTTTAACTCCCACTGTTATTTTGATGTTAATTGCAAAATTTGCAAGGAAAACATTACAATGTTGCATATGATTAAAACTTTATTGATATTAAAACTCACAATCTGAAAATATCTTAAATACTGAAAGATCATTTAGTCAGTTAACTGCCACAAACTCAGTATCCTGGTTAAATATATAGTCTACTCCATACATAAGTTAGTAATGTATGTAAGTAGTAGGCAATTTACAGGCCCCAATGGACCATTTATGAATGAGTGTACTAGTTGATATATATTATATGCATAAGTCAATATTAAACTATAATAATATTAATAAACTACTAGTACTACTCCTACTACTACTACTCATATGAACACTACTCATCATCTGTATATAACAATATCTTCTTTTATTTCATTACTGAAGGAAAAAGTATGGGGGGTTGCATACAGGATACATGCTGATAACATAGATCCAGTGAGAAAGCACCTGGACTTCAGGGAGAAAGGAGGTTATACAGCCACACCAGTGGTGTTCCATCCTCTAGAGCCCACTATGGAGCCAAAGGAACTATTAGTATTCATGGGTGAAGCAGATAACCCTTTCTACATCGGTCCAGAACCTATTAGTGAGACTGCAAAAATTATATCAGTAAGCGAAGGACCAAGTGGAAAAAACACAGAATATTTGTTTGAACTAGCTAAGGCATTTAGAAAAATAATGGCTGGAATAGAGGATTCATACTTGTTCGAACTCGAAAAAGAAGTACAGAGATTATGTAATGATCATTAATGACAAATGTTTCATAGCACTACATAGAAACTAATGAAATAATATACAGAGGCACCCCTCCTCCACGAGTTAAATTTTTTTAAAAATTATTAAAATAGTTCCCTGAGTTTGTGCACATTTTAGTATGTCTGTACATTCAACAAAAGAAGACCACAGTACTCACTATGTTATGGTAAAGTAGTATATAATAGGTCCCATATTAGACAATAGGTTTCTGAAGTTATATAGATCTGAACATAAAAATAAAGTAAACAAACTGCAAAATAAAGTATTCTATCTTATCTTGAAAGTCACACAACTAGCCAGTCTAGACAGATTTTGTCTTTGACAATTGTAACTTGGGTGTTTATTACCATGTACATCTTTAACAGTAAATGTGATGAATAAATGACATGAAACAGCATTTTGATATTTTTTATTTTTATTCAATTTATAGTATATAAATACACACAAACACACATTTGAAGTCCAAATGAAGCTAAATTAATGATTAAACATGATGAATAAATGATGGACATTTATTAAATACCTTATACAATGTAAAATAAAGAAATGTAATTGAATTACCATATACGCTGGATTATTATTTATAGACTACCTCTGCTATAACAATTATTAATAATAATTAATGTGACTTATGTAAGTCATAGTTTATTTTTGAAAGCCATGAACTATAGCCTGAGAAGTTGAAAATGGATGTGGAGGCATATAGAGTAACACAGTATAACAGTTTTGACATTCATCAATGATAATAATCCATGCATTAATATAACTTATGGTATCCTACTCTGAAAAAACTAGTGGCATAAATACCGACAAATTTCTCTGGACCACTGATAGCATTCAATAAAGATGGTGTCATTGAAAAGACTAGAATAAAAATTATTCAACTATGAAGTTGTGGCTATCATAAAATCCAGTTGCTGTCTGTGTAGAAGACTTTCTCTAATCAAAAGTGAATAGCACATCTTAGAATATATTGCACCATGCTAAATTCTACCTCACACGTCAGTCACTCAGGAGTAACATGAGATGGGGGAAGCCCAGCTGCTAGTCAATTGTGATCCTAGTTGTGATATCAGTAGGACGCATTTTCTCACCTCTGGTCTTTGAGTCAATTGCTTTCTTATTTATCTAGGTTTTTTATATTGGGTTACTGTTCTCTTGCAATTTTTAGTATCCCGTCTATTGTGACTTTTGGAGATTCTTTATTTAACTATATGTGGACTGTACACAACGTGTAAAAGGAGGAATCAGGAAAAAAACACTACACTACACTAGAAGAGGAGAAAAATTCTTCAGAAACTGGGATGAATGAATATATGAGCAATATAGACGCAAACTTTACTAAAATGGCCAGTGCCATGGCCAGAATGAGTGAGGCATGGATGGTGATGAGCAAGGCTCACTCCAGTGGGGTACACTGTGTGGCTCCTCAGACTGCCCACTCTGAAAGTAAGAGTCATGATGCAGTGTCGTCAGACTCTGATGAGGAGGGTGTGGTTAAGGCCCTTAAGACTGCCCACACTGGTAGTAACAGTAAGTAGCAGAGTCATGACATATTATCGTCAGACTCGGATGAGGATGACTGTGATGCAGAGGACTTGTTTGAAAAAGTTAGCAAAATAAGAGTCTAATGAAGAGGTAGACACTTCTTTAGATATCATTGATGAAGATCCCGATGACGATGAGGCTTTGGGTCCTGAAATCAGGAAAAAATTAGATATTTCAGATATCAGAAGTAAGGAGAGTGATTAAGATGATAAAGAACAGCTGTCAAGTTTACAAAGCGCTTGCCAAGATTCAGCAGACAGACTCATTGATATATGGCATTGATAAAAGCTACGGAAACGGTGAATTTCATTCACAATTTGACAAGATCTTTGACTGCCTAAATGGCCATAGTCTGTGAAATGAGAGACAAAATATGGCCCCACACATAGAAGTCTATGACCTCAAGATACCACTGGCTTGAAAATGTATTTTAGGGGGACTGAAAGAGTTGGAAAAATGAAATGAGAAACAAACCAGGCAATTTCTCTAGGTCAACAGGGCATTCTACTTTATCATACCCAATTGAATACAACAAGTTTATGGGAGGTATTGACCTCCTCAACATGTGTACCAATCTGTACTGTTACCCCTATCCCTGTAAAAGATGGTACATGTACATTTTCACAAATTCCCTTACAATGGCCCCTTGTCAATGCATCGTTTCTTTACAGAAGGTTGCATGTAGAAGAATTGGGCCTGGCAAACAATTCAGTTATGCCTCTTCAAAAGTTTCAATCACAGGTTGCAAACAGCTTGACCTCTGTAGGTGTTGGTAAAAAAAGAAAACGAGGAAGACACTCTATAAATCTTAATTGAAATCTCACGAAGGAGAGAACCGTTTCCACGTCATATCTTCTAGTAGATTAATGTCCTGAGTTTCACTGGTGTTGATACACTAAAACAAACAGTACATCAGGCCATGGCCAAGATTTTGGGCAATGAGTTGGACACAAAATTCAACTGGCTGGGGAAGGTGGATAAGAAGAAGACCCTGCTTTGAAGAGCAAGGCGAACTGCTTGCACAACTGCCACAGAAACAGCAGTATGCTGGCGTTGCCCCGGAAGTACAGAAAGATGAATTTGACCATTTATGATAACGTTTGTTTGGGTGCAAAGCTGAGGGTTATGGAAGTATTTTATTCACACGTACTTGAATGAAGTCAAAAGTAAAAGATATGTTGGCATTCATTAGGTGTGTGTGAAAGTTATCTTCCAGAGTTTCTCAATGGAAAGTAAAAGAGATAAACATAAAAAAATGTTATTTTGGCTAGCAATTTGTAATAAATATCAGATTGAAATTGAATAAAGCAACCTTTTTGATTTTGGAACTGAGACAGCAGTTCTGTTGTTACTGACACCGGCATCTCTCGCTGATAATTTGGTGGAGTGACCAACCTTTTAATTGTAACTGTTAAAAGGAAAGATCCCGTAAAAAATGAAAAAATTTACACCAAGAGAAACAAGAAGTTTTACAGCTGCAAACAGAAAAACTGAAAGAGACAACTTAAAAGACAAACTAAGATCAATCAGTGGGGATGTTGGTGAGTCAGTATAATATAAGTCCACAGCTGACATGGGCCACAGCAACTTCAATGACAGAAACTTTGCCGTCGCCAACCTACACAAGTATACTGCAGCCAACCTAACATTCCTACCGCCATGAATCCAAGCAGACAACAAATGCCTATGAATCCTAACACTTAAGCAGTCACCAGTGCCTTCCCTTAGTCAGGACACCACCATATTGTCCAGTAAGCTTCAAAATCAAGGACAACAAGGACACAAGGTCACCAAGTTCCGGATTTTTCCTCAATGCATGACAAAGACAGGAAAAGATTCAAGTTGTGCCCAAGGGCTTACTCTTTTTACACATTTGTCAAGTGAATCAAGTGCAATGCCCACCTTTGTCTAACAAAGGTGGATAAGAGGGCTTTGACCTTAATGGCATCAGAATTAACAGGAACATATATTTCCTATCATGTATGAATTGACAGGAACATATATTTGCTATCAATATACCCTTTTGGCTTGCAGAGTTTCAAATTAAGTTACTGACTTCCCTGGAACAAATCAAAGAACAAGTAAAGACCAACCCAAAACTGCTGCAGACCCTTTTAACCCAGAAGCATCTTGATGAAGAAAAGGACAATTATGAAGATGGTGACCATGGTGACCTCCGTGGGCGCCATACAAACAGAAACAGGACCCACGGTGCCAAGGTATACGGACCTTGGCCCCCAACCTATGACACACCCAATGCCAGCCACAGCTGTTGCCTCAGGAAGCACGTCAACTTTCTAGCAAAATGATGCCACCGCTACCCAAACTCACAGCCAAGGCCACATTCCAACATTACAAAATTAGGGGTACATGGGCCCTCCCACCCAGGCAGGCCAATTCACCACACCAGCGCCACTTCATCCCACAGGGGAACAGGCGACAGGGCAAACAACCACTCCAGGATGGCCCCTTGGGCCAACAGGCCAATTTCAAGAAGGTAGGCAGACTTTACCTTACTCCCCCTTGGACCATCACGTATCTAAAACCTTATGCCAAAAGATCTGGGACAACGAGTACGTGTCACTTAGAGACTTATTACCCCATACTTCCAACACACTGACACCCATCGACACCGTCGATGATGAGCAATTCGTTCAACGGAAAAAGACAGATGCAGAAGGCAACCTGACCCTCATTTTGGCCCCAGTCACTAAAAAGAGCTCACCACTAACCTTCCCGCAATGGCAAGTGGCTTTCAATATTTTTTCTGCTATTTACATCCAAAAATTCCCCCATCAATCGCTCAATCTTCTGCAATTTAACAATAGGATAGTTAAGATGTATGCAAATAAGGGCTCCCTCTGGCGATCCTATGACGAACGCTTCCGGGCCAACTTCAAGTCCATGGGTTACAAGTGGGAGGTCTCTGACGCAGTGCTCCTGGCCGAAATTACTTTCATCCAAAAAACACAGGAGCAGCCCTTTCGCCCATCCAAAACCTGCTTTCGATGGAACAAATTCAAAGACACTCAGCTATAAATCTTAATTAAAATCTCACAAAGGTGAGGACCATCTCTACGTCATATCTTCTAGTAGATTAGTGTCCTGAGTTTCAACGGTGTTGATAGATAAAAACAAACAGTACGTCGGGTCATGACCAAGATATTGGGCAATGAGTTGGCTACAAAATTCAACTGGCTGGGAAAGGAGGATAAGAAGGCTTTGACTTTAATGGCATCAGAAGAATTGATAGGAACATGTATTTACTATCATAGGAATTGACAGGAACATATATTTGCTATCATATATATAGCATATATATAGCAGCAATACTTTTTCCATTCTTTTTTATTTGTGGGCAATATACCCTGTTGACCTACAGAGTTTCATATAAAGTTACTGACTTCCCTGGAGCAAATCAGAGAACAAGTAAAGACCAACCCAAAACTGCTGCAGACCCTTTTAACCCAGAAGCATCTTGATGAAAAAAAGGACAATTATGAAGATGACTGTTATAATTTGCCACTAAGAAGCTTCACAGATGTAGATGCTCTGGAAGCAGACTTAGAAAGTGGTCAAAATCAACAAGCAAATGGTAAGAGAATTTGTTACAAAAAATCAGTATCATTATGAATTACTGATATCTTTTCCAAGTATATATATATATAAGTACATGTAATGAAATCAATAACGCCAAATACAATACTACTATACTATAACTTCAGATTTTATACTTCATTAACAATATAAGAAATAATAGATACACCAAATACTGTTTTTATTCTCTATTAGAAGTTCAAGAATTTGATCTCATGTCCCCGTCAACCCATCCTCCCTACTCCCAATCCAATTCCATGCCCCCCAACCTTTTCCCCCTCAATACATCGCCCCTTACCAAATGCCCCACCAAAATTTTGCACATCAGACGCCACAACATGACTTCACGTATGCCCCAGCCCAATTTCCGGATTCTCAGCAAGGTAAGAAAATTCCCAGAACTTCAATTGACCACCATGTAAACCACAAATTAAGATCAAAAATTTGGGATGATGAATTCGTTAATCTAAAAGACCTTCTTCCCCTTGACTCTTTGGCACCAAGCAGGGAGGATAAACCTGAAAATTTCTCAACGCAAACTGAATGGAACGAGGAAGGCCAGATCACAATGATCCTTGCCCCTTCTCCCAAGAAATCTGATTTGACCTTCCTCCAGTGGTGCCAAGCATGGCAAATCTTTTTGGCCATCTATCTACAAAAATTCCCTGATCAAGCCATCCCCCTTTTGGTTTATGCCCATAGGGTTATCGCGATGTTCCCTAACAAAGTAG